GCCCGGTCTGTGCCCGGTCCCTGCCCAGCCCCTGCCCGGTCTGTGCCCGGTCCCTGCCCAGCCCCTGCCCGGTCCGTGCCCGGTCCCTGCCCAGCCCCGCCGAAGGATATTTTTGGAAGCTGAAGGATCAGGGCCGGGATTTGGGATTTTGTGCGTCCCTCAGTGAGCACAGCCCGGCCGGGCTCTGCGCCCGCCGGACCGAGGGCAGCCGATCCCGGCCCGGCAGCGCCCCGCTCCCGCTGGCCCGGTGGCACCGTCCCTGTCCCCTCGGTGGCACCGTCCCTGTCCCGTCCCTGTCCCCTCGGTGGCACCATCCCTGTCCCAGCCATGTCCCTCGGTGGCACCGTCCCTGTCCCGACAGTGTCCCCGCGGTGGCACCGTCCCTGTCCTGACGGTGTCCCCTCGGTGGCACCGTCCCTGTCCCCTCGGTGGCACCGTCCCTGTCCCAGCTGTGTCCCCTCGGTGGCACCGTCCCTGTCCCGTCCTTGTCCCCGCGGTGGCACCATCCCTGTCCCCTCGGTGGCACCATCCCTGTCCCAGCCGTGTCCCCTCAGTGTCACCATCCCTGTCCCGTCCCTGTCCCCTCGGTGGCACTGTCCCTGTCCCAACAGTGTCCCTGCGGTGGCACCATCCCTGTCCCCACGGTGGCACCGTCCCTGTCCCAGCCCTGTCCCCTCGGTGTCACCGTCCTTGTCCCCATGGTGGCACTGTCCCTGTCCCTTCCATGGCACCGTCCCTGTCCCCGCGGTGGCACCATCCCTGTCCCAGCCGTGTCCCCTCGGTGTCACCATCCCTGTCCCGTCCCTGTCCCCTCGGTGTCACCGTCCCTGTACCAGCCATGTCCCTCGGTGGCACCATCCCTGTCCCCTCGGTGGCACCGTCCCTGTCCCAGCCGTGTCTCCTCGGTGTCACCGTCCCTGTCCCCTCGGTGTCACCGTCCCTGTCCCCTCGGTGGCACCGTCCCTGTCCCCTCGGTGTCACCGTCCCTGTCCCAGCCTGTCCCCTCGGTGGCACCGTCCCTGTCCCCTCGGTGTCACTGTCCCTGTCCCCTCGGTGTCACCGTCCCTGTCCCGCCTGTCCCCTCGGTGTCACCGTCCCTGTCCCGTCCTTGTCCCCACGGTGGCACCGTCCCTGTCCCAGCCTGTCCCCTCGGTGTCACTGTCCCTGTCCCCTCGGTGGCACCGTCCCTGTCCCCTCGGTGGCACCGTCCCTGTCCC